GGGCCTCCTCGCGGCCGCGCCACTGGCGTCGGGTTCAGGGGGCACCGCGGGCGCAGCACTTCCTGCAGCCGTGGGCCCTGCCCGCTGAGGTCCCTGCCGGTCCTCCCGGCGGTGCCCGTGGGGGGCGCTCCTCCACGGCTGCATCGGCCACGACTGGGTCGGCGCTCAGAGGGGCGCGCGCCCGCGCCCGCGGTGCGCGGCGACACGCTGCGGCGAAGCGCGCTGGCGCTGCTGGGGGCGTCCACGACGCGAGCTCCAGCTCGTACGGGGCGAGGAGCGGGGCGGGCAGTCAAGTGTCCGCGCTGAGGTCCCGCGCTGAAGAAGGACTCCCGACTCAGCCCCTGCCTGCGGAGCGCTGCGGATTCGACCTGGCTGGCTTGGGGATGGCCGTTCGTTCAAGAGTGCGGCGTCGCGCTGCAGTGCAGTCGGCCACGCCCTCGCTAGTGCTGTGAAGTGAATAGTGAGCGTGCTCTTCATGTAGCACGGGGCGCACGATCTCACCCAGAAACACTCCGAGGCAGAGGTTACCTCGAAGGTTGACGCAGCTGCCAAATCGAACGGGCTAGCATCCACCAGTGGCGTCGATTCCAAATATGCGGAGCCCAACACCTAATCGCGGGGGCCGCCAAAACGTTTGGGTCCCAGCACAGACGAGGTACCCGCAATGAAACATATTACGGACCCGCTGTAGCCCTACATCGTGGGTTGCACCGTTGGCCGTCTGCGTACTGATGTTCTGCATTGCTTCGGTCTCATGATCGCGCAGACCGTGCAACCTCAATTCGATTATTCGTGCCTAGATGTCGTAGGTGAGCCCCGTGCTTCGACTCAGTCCCATGCGGTACACCTCCTCGGCGACTGCCCCTTGGGCAGACCGAAGCAGTTCTCTGAAAACGAAGGCGAGTAGTATGAGAAACACTATTGGCTGCAGCGAGGACGCCAACGAGATGGCGGCATGAAGTCCGGGGCGTGGTCACGACCGTTACATCGGGAACCGATTCGGGAGTTGGTATCAGAATCTTGCAGGAGCAGGGCCGCGCGAACGCTTTAGGTTTCTTCAAAGCCGCGCCGCCCCCAACGAAGGAGATGCGCAGCCAGCTGCAGGCACGCAAACACTATCGTGACGAGCTGGAGGCCCAGCGCGTGGAAAACGTGATCCGCTAGCAGCGTCTTCAAAAATGGGGGCTCGGTGTGATGCCAAGGCGCGTGCGCCCGCCGACGCCCGCGTCACCGACAGGGCGATGATTGGACCTGGTCTCCGAAATCCTCCACGCGCATATCGCCCCCGCGCAAGCCTGCCACCAGTCGCTTCCAAGAGCTGTCCTGAAGAGCGTTCTGGGACCGTGGTATCCTGCTGTATTGCGAGAGCGTGCATGTTCCAGACATCGTGGCGGCGCGCTGCAGAAATCCCCACGCGGGGTGCTCTTGGCGCCGCTTCGGAGCTTCTGGACAGCGCCCGCCTCCCCCCAGCAAGCGCGGTCCTCCTACTTTCGAGCTGCCGCTCCCTGACACGATGCAGCAGGCATGGTGCCTCAGGGCCCGCCGCACCGGCCACAGACTCGCACCAGGGCTGTCCCCTGGCGGGTCCCGTGGCATCTGGGTTTCAGTCGCCTCGCTCCTGCGACCAGATGTGACCGCCCTACCCCTGTGGGTCCAGCCGGCGCTGGGGTCTCGAACGCCCCCGCTGGGGCCGCTGGGCTTCACCAGCCGGCGCTTCAGAAGTCAGCCTTGCAGGGGGTGGGTTGCGCATGTGGCTGTCTATCGTTGGTGCCACCTCTGGGCGAGAGGAGGGAGCAGACAGGTCGTGGACTGGGTCGTGTGGCCAGCCGGTGGTGCGGCCCGCGTGCGCCCAGTGCTGCGTCGGTGCCAGGTGCCGTGCCGCTGGGCCCTTTGGCGGCGTCCACGATGCGTGGCTCGTCAATTTGCTCGTGCTTTCTTACTTCTCCCCATCCTCCTCATCCTCGTCCTCCTGGATATCCTTTTCCTCTGGCTTCTCCCCTTGCCCAGGCTCCCCCCCTCCCCATTCTCCTCCATGGCGAGGGAAGGGGATCGATGGGATGTGATCGGGGAGAGGAGGATCAGGAGGAGGAGAGAGGGAGAAGATTCAGGAGCACGAAGATCAGGATAATCATCGTCAAGATGATGATCGAGAAGGACACACAAAGACGAGCAGAAGGAGCACAATGAGAATAGGAGAGCGGGGATGATGCGGAGGAAATGAGAACGGCGAGGAATAGAAGCAGAGCAGGAAGCAGGAGGAAAAGAAAGAGGAGCGGGGGGAGTAGGACGTGGAGGAATATGCGGGTCTGGAGAGCGAGAGGAGGCTGATGATTCCGCAAGGGAGGAGGAGGAGCATTTTCAGGAGGAGGAGGAGGAGCGTGAGCGTGAGAGACCTCCTCCTGCTCCTGTTTCCTCCTCCGTCCTTCTCCCGCTCTTCCTCCTCTGAGAAGGAGGAGGACGCGGCCAATCCCCGTTCTGGTTCCGATCTCGGGGTCCACAGGACAAGGGCGCAGGCTCCCTGGCCACGTCGGACTCGAGGCGGGGATCGATCTGCGAGGCCGCCCAGGCCCGCGCTCAGAAGGAGGAGCAGCAGCAGGATGATGATGAGGAGGAAGGGGACGGAGGGAGGAGGTGGACGAGGAGGAGGCGAAGGAGGCGGTGGAGGAGAGCCATGCGATAGTTTTCGGTGGTTGTCTTTTGTCCTCATCGGCTTTCGGTGTTCCCTGAGGTTGCCCAGAGTTCCGCACGGACGAGGAGAAGGAGGAGAAGAAGAATTGGAGGAACAGGTGCTGCAGCAAAGGAAGAAGGCGGGAGGACGATACGACCTGGGGATCGCCTCCCCCCCTCCTGCTCCTTGCTCCTCCCTTCTCCGCCTTGTCTTCCAGCGGGAGGTTGTTGTCGTAGCCCAGTGCCAGCTGCAGGCTGTGGGCAACCTCCCCATGCCGCCTTGTCCGGCAGGGGCCCGGGGCGCGTGCGTTAGGATCTAAAATGGGAACAATTCTGCACCAGAGTGGGGAGCCCGCCCGGGCTCCCGTGCCGCACCGCCTCCATCGTGTCCCCGCCCCAACTGTGGGGGTAGGGAGGGCCGGGGCCTGGGAGTGCACATTCAAAGTCCCACCTACAAGGCGAGAGGCGTTGGCACGACCAAAGCACACCTACACCGAGGGCGCGTAATGAGGGATACAGCCGTTGGCGATCCGCGTGTCATTTTATGTCCTGTGCAATACCAAGGGTGACACAAGTGCGTGCACAATAAAGGCAGACAACAGCCGAGCTCCGCAGCGGACAGCAGTCGACACTGTGAAGGCAGCAGCGCCTGCTCCCCCAAAAGAATGGAAACCTAAGTCAGAGAAAGTGGTACAGGAGGGCACGCTTCAAAAGACACGGCTGTATGCTCCCCTATGGCCAGCAAGGATTCCACGCAGAGGAGATGAAGAAAGACGACGACGGCGACGACGACGAATAGGAGGGAGGCACTCCTTGCTGGCCAGACACGCCGAATGTTAGCCCATAGAGAGAGCCAGATGGCATGGGTGGACAGGTGAGATTATTTCCGCAAAATGCTGCGAATGCAAGGCCCCCTGTAGCCGCGAGCCTCGCGACCCTGAAAGCACCTGGAGACCCCCACAGTCTCGGCCCGCACGACACAGGTGGCCGTGGGGTTATGAAATCGTTGGCCGCTGTCATTCGTACATGTTCCCGCCGTACGTGTTGATCACGTCCCTCGTGGGACCCCGTAGAGGTGATCTCTCCCAGCGCCTTGTCTTCCAGCTCCTGCTTCTCTCCCTCGTCCCCCTGTTCATCCGCCTCCCCCCCCGTCCGCGTGCTCCTCTTCCTCCGTTCCGTTCCGTTCCGTAGCGGCTTAGAGCGTGTCCGTCTGTGGAAGCAATCATGCACCGGAATGGGCGAAAAGGTCTGGGACCCTACACGAAAGTAGGCGCCACTTCTTTGGAGGCGCCTCGACCCAGCTTCACTCGAAGGAGGAGGAGAAGTGGAGGAGGACGCGTGGATGAAGCCAGCTTCGGCAGCCTCCCTGGTCAAAGGCCCAGCCAGCCGACAGGCAGGGGCGTCCGCATGTTCGGTTCGGTTCTGGCCCTGTCTTGCACGGCCTTTGGCGGCCTCCGCGTCCCGCGTGTCATGGTCCGCTACGGCTGTACATGGGAATCGTGGTAAGCACTGCTGGACGACAGCGCGACACCTCCCAGAACGCTCTGCAACATGAGAAATGAGTCTGACGCGGGTGTAAGAGGACTGCGTGCGCGGGGCAACGCACAACGCACCACATCAATTAGTTCACGTGTGCGGCGCCGGACACCACACAATGCACGGTGAAGGCATGAGTTACCAGCTGTTGCTGGGAAGCGATTGTGTAAGGACAGCCTCGATATGCGAAGACATGATTGACTTCAGCCAAGTGGCGGGTCTTCGCCCATGATTGCGGGCGGTTCACCTCGCGTTCCATTTTCGCTCTGAGCCTCCCCTTCTCCCCTCTCCTCCTCCCCCTCCTCCCGCGCGCTCACGGGAGCGCGCCGCGAGGAGGAAAGCAGCGCGCGTGCGTGCGTGCGTGCGTGCGTGCGGGGGAGGAGGAGGAGGAGGAGGAGGAGGAGGAGGGGGGGGGAAGAGGAGGACCAGAGTAAACCTAAAGATGCGTAAGCGATGCCGCAACACACTCTCCGATCCCAACTTCGCTCCTCATACTCCCCTCTGCCATGTTGGCGAGCGCCCCACCGTGAAAAGAAACCGCCTTACATCTTTTCTGGCGCGCACTCAGGGACGCGAAAAAACAATGATCATACAAGTCAACGGGGTGTTCCCCGTTTCGCGAAGATTGTCCCCCCCCCCCCCCTCTCCGTGTAGATGTTGCACACATTCACCCGTGTGGTCATGATCTTCGAGAATGTGTCAAGCGAAATTTGCATTATGAAAAATGGCCTGCAATGGATCCGTGCAGCGCTGCGTGAGTTGAAGTCCCGAGTCCTTAAATCTAGCGAAGTCCTTGG